TGGCCGTCGTCTCGCTAGATGGCCTCCTCGCAGGCGTGTTGGAACGCCGCGGTGGAGGCGCCGGAGCCAGCCCGTCGGTCTACATCGTGAACACCGGCATGTCGAGCAGCGTCGGCCAGGACAACCACTGGTTTACCGTCGCGTTGGAGTTTTGAGCGCGTGTGCGCGCGTGTGTGTAGAGTCTTCATTACTACTCGACGTAGAGTACTGTAGCAATACACACTCTGTGACATCCGCGACGACAAGACGTACACGCGCGCACGAGGTCTACCGATGCACAGTACATTCGCGCCACAAAGGACCGCGCGGCACGCACGCGCAGTTGCTGCCCTCGAGGCGCGCTCTCCTTGCGCGGCATGCCCTGTGTGTGTCAGCGCTTGGCCTTGGAGCCGCTCGACTGTACGAGAGTCGGGCTCCGGCCCTCGGTGCCACGGCAGCGACGGCGTGCTCGGCGGGTGGCGGTGTGGCGGCTGCTGCTGATGTCCGCTGCCGCGCAGAGCTGTCCTGCCGGCGAGAGGTGGCACACAGCTCGAAGGCGGCGTCGGCGACCGCCGCGCTGGCTCTCTCTCCTCAGCAGACGCCGCTTCGCGTCTCGGCGGCGGCAGCTGCTTCGCCGCGAGAGTAGCGAGGCGACGTACGCGCCTCCGCTCTGCGGCAGCAGCAAGGAGCGAACGCGCTGGCAGAGCTGCTGGCTTCACAGGCCTGTTGAGTGCGAGGCAAGGTGAAGTGAGCGGATGTGCCGGGCAGGACCGGGCAGGGCAGGCGGGGCGGGGCGGGGCAGGGCACCGCGCGGTGGTAGACCTTCAACTGTGGAATCGCCGGGTTCAAATCCCCGGGTTCGCAGCAGTGTCACGTCGTTGACGGTGGGTAGGGTCAGGGCGGGGCGGGGCGCATGCGGCGCGCATAGGGTGGGGCACGCACCAGCGGTCGCTGCCTAGTGTGCGCACACGCGCGCGACGAGCTCGTCGGCTAGGCTGTACTCTCCTCCTTAACGTCCGGCCGTTCCGGGGAACGGGGTGGGGATGTCCTGATCGACCTGCAACACAGGCAGTCGGTGACGGTAACGAACGGGAAGCTGTTTGGGAAGTGGGCGTCGCAGGGCGGGCCGGAAGGCGGGCGGGCGCGAGCGGGCACGAACGATCTTGTCCGTGGTCGTGCGCACGCACACCATATTGCCATTGTTACGGCAAGGCGCCATTTGAGGGAGGTGCGGACCATCCCTCAGACGATCCTTGCGCGCTGGCGGTGTGGTGCGGGAGACCGCAGGAGCGAGAGGGGCGGGCCGGGGCCGGAGGGAGGCGGACGCGCGGGCGGGCGCGCGGGCGTCGAGGGTGGGGCACGGACGCGCCTGGCGCCAACCGCCTCGGCTCCGTACGCGGTCGTAGCATGGTACGCGTAATAGAAGGAACTCCGTCGGAGCTTCCGGTTTGCGACATCCTTTTGCTTGGCCGGGGGACTAAGGCACTCTTGCTCATTTCTCTCTCTAAGAGTAGGGCGACTGGCGACGGCAAAAATGCAAGCCCCGCCCCTGGCCACTGTAAATAGAGCAGACAACCCCTGGTTGGGATTAGGGCAACAAAAAGAAAGAATTTTGACAACCCAAAAGGGATAACAACCCGACGCAACGCCGGAAAAAATTCTTTTTGCACGTCAGCGACGAGTGGTCGCTATCTAGATAGGCCCCAACCACAAAATCTCGCGCTGGCTCCCGCCGACTCGCACTTTTGATGGCCGCCATAGCTGCACGCCCCGGGGCCTGGATCCACGCGACGCCTGTTGCTCACGGAACTCGCCACGCCCGCACCGACCCCGCCGCCTGTTGCTCACGGAACTCGCCACGCCCGCACCGACCCCGCCCTGTGATGCGCCCTCGCTCGCCGCCCGACGGCGCCCTCAACCTCGCACCGCCTGCCCCCTCCCGCTCGCAGGTGCTCAAGCCAGAATCAGTTTACTCATCCCTTCTGGCCGACGGCCGTCCGAGCTTTGGTCGCATGGTTGCATCCATTTGGGGCCGCAATGAATTTAGCGCAGTCGGTGGCGACGAAACAGCTGTGACTTCCACACTCTCAGGGCGTCGTTGCCTTCAGATCATGGCCTTCATGGGATTGAGCATGTCAATGCTCACATTTTTGATCTGCTACAGCAAGGTAGAGCGACTGGAAACGGAGTTGGGATATTATCAAGAGTACGTCGGATTATTCGATTCGATCAGCGGACGGGATTGGGAAAACTTGACGCAACCACTTCCCGTCGTTCTCTTCATCACACATCTGCACATTTACTCAGGCCGTGAGTTACAAGATGTGCGAAAACTCAAGGTTCTGCGCATCTACAAAAGATACTTTGAGCAAGTTGTCTTCCTATCTCCTGGTCCCCTGCCTTGCAACCATAAAATGTATCGTGGTTTCGGGTGTCATGACTGCAAAAATGACAACGGTGAAGGCGCATTCAGGCTGGGCGGTGCGACGGCAGATACATATTCAATGGTGTGCGTAGCTGATTTTGTTTCAAATATGCGGTCGGCGGGCAAGGTTTTGCAGGGTTATGTTGCCATGCATGCGGATATGTGGGTCACACCAAAGTTTCTTTCGATTGTTCGAGCAAATATACGCTCCTACATATCCATGCATGTAATGTCTGCTGGTGTGCCCCAGATAAGCGACAACGCGGACATTCCAACACATGGATGGTGGTGGGACAGAGAACACAATGCGACCCTGCTTGCAAAACGCAAATTCCTTGCTCGTGGTTGGGCGTGGGGCTATTGGATGGGTTGATTTGTATTACGTTCCGCGCGATGCGTGGCCGGAGTTCACGTCTGCTTTGCGCGTGTTTGAGGAGAGCCATGTGTTCAACGAAATTGCTGTACCCAGTGCTGCAACCATGGTTTGTGGCAGGAGATCCATCCATATGTTGCCACTAAACTGTTTGGGTTCCTGCTGTTCTCAACCATTGCCCAACTGGCCGCCATCCAACATTGCCCAACCGATGCTTGACTCCACATGTGGACATCCATTGCGTCTTGAGAAGCCGGCGCACTTGGCAGCTTTGCAAGCTGCATGGATGTAGGCCAGTCGGTCGTGGTATCTTTCAGGGTTATTGTGGCCTTACTTTATGCGTGCGGAAATGCATTGTCCGGTTATCTTCTCCAAGATTACTCCGTCCAACACAACTGTGTGTGTGTGTGTGTGTGGACCCTACGTAAGCCCAAGAGAAGGCGAATTGCCCCTTACCTACCTTACCCTACGTACCGTACCTCTTAGTAGAGCCGTACCATATCTAAACCATATCCGCCTGCGGGCCGACCCTCACGCTCACTTTGCGCCATGTGAGCATGACAACTGCTTCATTCAGCAGCGTGCACCTCGATCCTGTACCGTGTTTGTATATGACCCCACCCCAAATGAACACACCAGCGAGGGAGGGCGAGACGATCGAGGGGTCCCGTACCATGCGGGATCGACCCTATCCAGTGCTCTAGTGCTCAAATGCAGAATTGCCCATTCCGTTTGATGACTTCCAGGAATTTGCCGGAATCCGCACTTTCGGGGGCAAAAAGTGCGGACGCACGATCGCCAGACCCGCATATATGGCCTTGCACCAGCTCACACCTTCGTGCTATGCGTTGCCAACCGTGCATCCGCAGTCTGCGCAGTCGCAGCAGCCGCAGGCTCCACTACCTCAGCTGCAAACGGCAAGGCGAAGGTCCCTGAGCTCTGCAGCTCCGCCGTCTCCTCCGTGCGTTCGATACTGTGCCTGGAACAGCAAGGAGTGGCCCACCAAGTGCGGATGGAAAAGCTGCATGGGATGCATGCAGTGTAGGCCGCCAGCGCCGCCGTCTTTGCCATCCCCGCCCGCGCCGCCCCCGTCCCGGCCAGCGCCGCCCCCGCCGTCTCCGAAGAGTTGTGCTCACCCAATGCTTCAGTCCACCACCACCTACTGCGGCGACGGACTTGTGCGCGCCGGCTTCGCTCCCAATCTCGCCACATGCCTGGCCCGATGCGAGAGCAACACCAAGTGCGCCTTTGTCTCCTACTTTTCGGAAGGGGACTTTGAAGAGAAGTGGTGAGGGCACGCCTTCAAGATTCACCTCCTTTCCTCCCCGCGACACAGACAACCAGGCCGTGTCACCTCTGTCATGACCCGTGATACCTCTTGTGGGCGACTTATTTTGCAGGTGCCGCCTCTCTTCAAGCTGCGAGGAGCTATGGCAATCGGGCGGGGTTGTCGTCGACCTGTTCACGTGCACGCCCCCGCCGCCGCCGCCGCAGTCGCCACCCAAGCCGCCGCCGCCGCCGCCAAACTTCCTCCTCATTTACTCTGACGATCAGGCAACTTGCGAGAGTATTAAAGCTCTAACGTATTCTGTTACCGTCCCCTCAACTCTCTAACCGCATTGCTTGACGCTCCCCTCCTCCACCACCCAGAGCTTCGAGGAGTTTGGCGCGTACGGTGGCAAGGTGCGCAGACCACCAATACGGTCGCTCAGTACTGGAAAAAGGGAGAGATGACTAAGACGAGTCGCAGCCTCAGACCCCCCCCCCCCCTGCCAGGTGCACACGCCCAATCTCGACAAGCTTGCCAGCGGGGGCGTCAAGTTCATGGGTGGGCATGTGACATCGACGCTGTGCACACCGAGCCGGTGGAGCGCTTTGAACGGCCGCTTTGCCTCGCGCAGCCAAGATCTCCTCAATGACTACCCGGCGGGAGGTCCCGTAAGGTGCCACCGACGACTCCACCCTCGCGAGAGCTTCAAGCCATGCTGCCACCGCTATCTCCCGCTCCTCCCTAGGGGCGGCCCCTGACGCTCTCCGCCCGTCCCTTCCTCAGTATTCAGTGGAACACCTACCTCATCGAGGGCGACATGACCATAGCGATGGCGCTGCAAGACCACGGCTACTTGACGGGCGCAGTGGGGAAGTGGCATCTTGGCGCTCCGCGGCTCATCTACCCGTACGACCCGAGCCCCCACTACCAAGACTACGAGCTCCTCGAGCGGCAAAACAACTTGACACGAGAGCACTGCAGAGAGTTCGGATTCGGGGTGTGTGACCGCGTCTACCGCTCAAACGTTGGTGCTGTGGAGGTGAACAACGACATCCCGTTTGAGCTCAAGTACCACAATCTCGAGTGGGTGACGGGCGGGGCTCTGGCCTTTCTGGGGCAAGCCGAGCGAGTCAAGCTGCCGTGGTTCCTCTATTATGCCTTCACCGCGCCGCATGGGCCGCCGACTCGGTTGAGCCTTAATAACCCGGCATACGTGACGCCTCTTGGAATCAAGTATGAGGGCATGACGCAGCAGGAGTGGCCTCAGGAGCACCTGCAGCCGCGAGGCACCGTCTATGAGCGTGCACTAGCTGCTGGCGTCACGGATCCGGACTTCCAGGCGAGCACCAGTTCGCCCGTCACCCGGCCCTCTCAAACCGCCCAATCGTCCGAGCATCCAACCCTCGACTTCCCTCAACATCCCACTGTCTGGCGGCAGGCCATCACTTGGATGGACGATGCAGTCGAGACGCTCATGGCCAAGGTCGACGAGCTCGGTATGCGTGAGCAAACAATGACCATATACATCTCGGACCACCAGGCAGACGTTATTGGGAAGGGTACCTGCTACTGGGCCACCAACGTGCCCTTCATTGTCAACTGGCCCGGAACCGTCGCGCCAGCTGTGGCACGCGCTCACCGCCGCGTGACTTGCATGGTTTGCCTGCAGTGAGCGTGGCGAGATTGCGGTTAGGCCGGGACTGAGCTGCTTGCCTACCACCTCGACGTCTTCCCGACGATCCTCGACTACGCGGGTGAGCAGAGACGTCCCGAGATAACCCAGATTGTCCGAGATTACACGGGCATCCTCGACTACGCTTCATTCAACCTCTACGACCCTTCTCCCCAGCACTCCTGCACGCTGGCTAGGCGTCAACGCCGCGAGCTTGACACCTCTTCCGGGCCCGACGACTGCGCTCGTCGCGTGCGGGGGCGGCGACGCGAACCCGCAGTGCCACGCCTTGGGTGTGCTGGAGAAAACCGTGTTTCTCGACGAGAAGTACGGGGTGCGCTGCTGCTCGGACACCGTGAGGGCCGCTCCCTGGAGGCAGGGCGCGGACTGCGCCGTGTGGGCAGAGTCAGACGCTGGCTTTGGCCCGGGTGGGAGTACGCAGTGCCATCGATCCTCGACTTTTGCCGAAGCGGAGGCCATCTGCCTTGCAGCGAGCGCCCGCTTGTGCACCGCGGCGGAAATTCACGCAGGCTGCACCAAGACCACCGGATGCGCTCTCGACGGCGCGCTCATCTGGACGGGCGACGTGACGACGCCGGCTCCCAAGCCGCTCCATCTCGATGGCAAGAGCCTCCGACCCCTTCTCGAGGGTGGGCCCGTCAACTCGGCGGGTAAGCCGGAACCGTGGATGTGGCGGAGGTACATCCTGCTCGAGGTTTTCTACACGCGCGCGGTCGTGTCGTGGGACGGCTGGAAGTACTTGGCCAAGCGCTTCCCGCCCGAGGTCCAGGTGACCGCCGAGCACCTGCCACTGCCCCAAGACCGTGCTAGGATGCTGCTAGAAACGTCCTCACCCCCCCCCCCCTCCCCTCATCCAGGCGCTCGCAGACCAAGGCATCCCGGTGGACCACCAGGGCCTTCCACCGGAGCACAGGCAGTACCTTCGCCTCTTCAAGGGCGAGCTCCCCGAGCACTACCCTTACTACCTCGACGACGACCAGCTGTACCACCTTTACGACGGCAATACGTACCTAAACGAAAGCGTCAACCTCTACGACTCGAACGCCCCGGATGCTGTGGCTGCGCTCGCCAAGCTCGAGACGGCCATGGCGGAGGTGAGCGCTACATTGCCTCACAGTTTTGGCGAGTTCACGTCGACGCGCAGATAGTTTGATAGATGGACGTCTTGCGCGCAGCGACGGCGCGCTTGTGCGTGCCGCGCTGCGGCGCGGCGGCGGCGGCGGCGCGGCGTGGCGTGCAAACGTGGTCGGGTAGCGTAGGTACGTACGGCTCTTACGGCTCTAACGGGACTACGCTGTAGCTGTTCCCTCCCGCCCCTGTGCTGACTACGGCTCTGCGGGGTACTGCTAGTGCTTGTCTTACTGCACCGCCATTACCGTATTAACTGTTATTTCGCTGTCTTCACGCCTCTCGCTTTTTTCCGGCGGTTTGAGGAAACTCTGCCTCACACTTTGCTCATTGCTGCACGCGGTCGGCACCAGGCACATTTCGCGGACTGCTGCGAGCGCACCAGCGCGGGCCACATGCGCTTGCGGGACGCATCGCCCCAAAAGGAATGAGCTCCTAGCGGCAGCGAGGCGGGCGCCTACTTGCCGCCGCCCTGGTCGCGCTGCTCGTCGCTCCTCGCCCACTTCTCGAGGACCTCGTCCAGCGGCGCCTCTGCGCCGAGCATCTGGTGCGCACGCGCGATCTCCTGCTTCACCTCGGAGAGGGTCTGCGGGTCGCACACGCGGCCGAGGTCATGCGTCAGCTCGAAGGGGTCCTCGATGCAGAAGAGGTGCCGGTCGCCGCGGAAGCCGCGCTCCTTGGTAGTCCACCCCTTCTCGTGCTTGCTCAGGTGGCCTCCCGTCCGCACCGACACCACGCCGCCCTTGAAGTCGAACTCTCGCGCGTAGCACCGGAAGAAGCCGACCAGCAGCTCACCCAAGCCCTGCGTGTTGACGCCGAGCCGCTCCGTTGCACCGCGCACCGACTCGACGTCCGCGCAAAAAGAGCAATCGAACACCCGCCCGTCGTGCGTCGCCGCCTGCATCGCCTCGCCCGTCGGGCCCCAGCCGCCGCCGCGCAGCGCCTGCAGCACCGGCAGCACGGGAGGCGAGGTCGTCTGCAGGTAGTTGAGCACGAGCAGGACCCAGGCGTACGAGGAGGGCGAGCCGCGGTACGGGTCGGCGATGCAGCGCCGCTTCGTCCAGTGCTTGACTGCAGCGCAGAGCGGGCGCACACGCGGGTCGAGCTGCGTGTACGCGCGCAGCAAGCGAGAGTTGAGCAGCGCTAGCTGGTTGCACATGCAGACGTCGCACGAGAGACCGCTCACGCCGTCCTCCAACGCGACGATCGGCACCCGCGCCTTTGGCCGCGCGTGGACGGCCCTCATCTCGCCACCCGCCTTGATCGCCTCCGCCAGCTGCTCGATCATCTTGCGCTGCGCCTCCATCGGCCACTCCTCGGCGCCCGCCTCCGGCACCAGCGTCAAGTCGAGGTCGGCGCCCTTCGAGTGCAGCCCAGACACGCAGGAGCCAAACATGTGCAATTTAGCGCCCGGCGCGACGGCGCTGGCGTGGGACTGGAGCCTGCCAATGAGCGCCTGGCGCAGCGCGGCGTCCTCCTCGCCCGGCGCGAGCTCCGCCGCGAGCCGCTCGACCGAGGCGCTCAGCGCCTGAAGGTAGCCGCTCTGCCGGTGCGCGCGGTGCGGCGCGCCCCTCCGCCGCTGCTGCCGTGCGGCGCGGTCTCGCTGCGCCGCCAGCTGGTCCGTGTATGGGCGCGCCGCGCTCGGCGGGTCCGGCGGAGAGACAGCGGCGCCTCTCGGAGGGGGGGTGGACCCGCTCCCGGGCGGAGCCGCTGGCTGGAGGAGGAGGTGCAGCCGCTGCTGCTCCGACTGGAGCCGCTGCAGCAGCAGCATCTGCTGCTGCCGCCGCGCCTGCCCCTCCTGCCACTGCCTCACCTCGAGCGGCGTCGAGGCACCGGTCGGCTGCGGCGGCGGCGGCGCGCGCACCGCAGCGAGCAGCCGCTGCTGGTCGTGGTGCAGCCGCTGCAGCTGCTGCGCCGCCGCCGCCGCAGCCTGCTGCTGCGCCTGCTGCTGCGCCTGCTGCTGCGCCTGCTGCTGCGCCTGCTGCTGCGCCTGCTGCTGCGCCTGCTGCGCCTGCTGCTGCGCCTGCTGCTGCGCCTGCGGCTGCGCCTGCTGCTGCGCCTGCGGCTGCGCCTGCGGGAGCGCCTGGATGGCCTGCTGCTGCTGCTGCTGCTGCTGCTGCCACAGCACTTGCTGCTGCTGCGGCGGCTGCTGCGGCGGCTGCGGGAGTGGGAGCGGGAGCAGCTGGGAGAGGAGCTGGGTGGGTTGCTCGGCCGGCGCCACCCCGGCGGCGACGTGGGGAGGAGGGAGGCTCTCCGAGAGGGCAAGCGAGGCTAGCCCGGCCTCGGCACCCTCGCAGCCGCCGCCCGCGGCTCGCTCAAACAGCATACGGCGTGGCGGTGCCACGCCGGCCGGCGCGGGGAGGCCGCCGGCCGACAGAGCGTCAGCGCCGGGCAGCGGTAGCCCAGCCCCGGGGAGCATCGCTCCGGGAAGCGGCGCCGCCGCCCGCGGATCTGCCGGCATCGCGCCGGGGAAGAGCGGCTGCGGCGCCAGCTGCCCGAGCGGTGGCATGCCCGGCAGAGGCAGTGGCGGCGCGGGCGGGCCGCCGATGCCGCTCCCGAGGTTGAGGCCGGGCGGGAGGCCCTGCGCCGGCGATGCGACGCGGCGAGCCGGCTCTGGCGCCAGGGAGATGGCCGGATCGGCGCCAGGGAGTGCGGAGTGGACGATGGCAGGGTCGGCACCGGGAAGCGCGGGCGTGGGCGAGCCGCCATCTAAGGGCAGGCCTCCAATGTTCAGGAGCTTGCGCAGCGAGGCGGTAGGGTCGTCGGGCTGCATACACACATATCCGTGAGCGCGCAAGAGCGGCGCTGGGCCGGGTGCGGCGGCGCGGTTTTTGTTGGAGAGTGTGAACTCAAACCTACTTCCTGACATGGTACCGACCGGTGAGTGCACGGAGTGAGCAGTGCGGCACTGAGGCCGACATGAGAGCTGGTGCGGCACACAAGCGAGATGTGTTGCCGCACAGCATTTCCGGCTTACGCTCGATACGTTGGCTGGCACCATGGGCACCTGCGCGAGCCGTGGTGATTGGCTGGGCACAGAGGCTCGGCGCACGGTGGCACAGCGGCCGCCAACTGCTCGGCACGGAGGCTGAGCAGAATGAGTACAACTGCAACATCAACTTGGGTGCTTGCGGATCTTCTGCGACAGACGCCCTCGACGGAGAGGAGGGCGATGGTGGCATCGGCTGCGTCTGGCGTCCCGGTGGACGTATACACTGTGCTGCTGCACGAGATGCCGCGAGCTGACGAGAACGGCCCGCAGGACGAGTGCGCCACGTGAGCCAAGGACTGCTGCGAGGCGAACCACTGCGCTGTGCCGGGGGCGAGGTCATACAAGGCCATCTCGTCGCTCGTGCCATGGATAAAGATGCCCGAGATGGAACCGCGCCGGTCGCCCCACGGGCAGCTCCAGCCGCTGACAGCGAGCGCGCCGCTGAGGCTGACCATCGGCCCGGTGGCCACGGCGCCGAAGGCGGCGATGCGGTGCGAGAGGCGGCAGGCGAGGTTCAGCGACATCATCCCGCCGTTGGAAAAGCCGAGCGCGTACACCCGCCTATGTGGTGAAACGAGGGCTGCTATGTGCGGCTCGGGGCGGGAGTTGCTGTGGCCTCGTCCCTGCTATGTGGTGAAACGAGGGCTGCTGTGTGCGGCTCGGGGCAGGCTGTTGTGGCCTCGTCCCTGCGCATCTAGGTGCGCGCGCCCTGCGTCGATGGAGTAGCGCTCGATCATCCGGTCAATGAGAGCATCGACGAATCCGACGTCGTCGACGCCCGCGTCGAACAGGCACTGCCCCAGGTTGGCTGCGTTGGGGATGCTCCAGCAGGACCAGATGTCCACGCCAATCCCGTCCGGGTAGACCACGATCGCACCCCCGTGCTGCTGGGCAATCCTGTCCATGTCGGTGACTTCGCGCATGAGCTCGTCCGACATGGTCCAGCCGTGGAAGGCGAGGATGAGCGCGCACGGAGGCGAGGCGCAGCTCTCTGTGCCCACCGTCCAGCTCCGCGCCCGAGGAGGCGTGCCCCACCACATCGAGTTGGAACAGTCGGGCTCCGTGGAGTAGCAATCCAGGTACTCTGCGCAAGAGGTTAGACAGGGGATGCACCCCACGCACGGATAGCAGAGCGGGTTCAGGGCTGCAGGGCCGATACAGCCAAAGCATGGGAGGCAGCCGCTGCAAGTGACGCCGCATGTCACCGCGTCCTCGCTGCAGCACGTCTGGCGCCGTGACGGCTCTGCCGCCGCGAGAGCAGTGGCGCGGACGGTGGCAGCTAGCAGCCATGCGAAGAGCAGCGCGCGGACGGCCCCCGCACACATTGGTGCGCAGCAATTTTTATATAATACCAAAAGGAGGGCTACACGCGGCCCTCTACGCTGCGCGCCGCAGCAACGTTTCGCCGGCGGGGGCGGGCTGTTTTGCAAAGAATTTCTTGTCATCCCTTGTCGCGGAGCCGATTTTCTTATCTTATCGCCAGGTGGGCCGGTCTCTTCGACGGCGCCTATGGGGTTGCCGTCTGCTTTGCTCGTTTTGGTTCCTTTGTCCTTACTTCTTGCTGAATTCTTATCGCCACCGCAGCGGCGCGCTTTAGGGCGCCGATGCCTGCGCCGGACGTCGCCGCGCTGTCCGCCATCCACCAACTCGGCGAATTGGTGCGAGAGGCGGCGCGAGAGGCGGCAGAGGGCGAGGTCGGCCACGCGGCCTTGCTGCCACCGCTGCTCCGGCTGCATGTGAGACTGCGTGCGGCCGCAGACGAGCTGGTCGAGGCGGCTCCCGACAGCAGCGAGCGGTGCGCGGTCCGGCTGGCCAGCACGATGTTCCTCTCCCTTGTCGTCTGGCCATCGCTCGCTGGCCATTCAGACGTGGCGGCGTCGGCCGCCGCCGGCGCAGCGACAGCCTCGACCCTGGCCGCTGCCGCCGCTGCCGACATGCACCGCAGCGACACGGCGCTCGCCCGGGATGCGCTCCTCCGGCGCAGCGAGCGTTATATCGCGTTCGCGTCGCGCTCCACCTCGCAGATCGCAGCCCACGCCATCCGGCAAGCTGGCGAGTGTGCAGGCGGAGACACGGCCGTCCATCGTCCACGACGCGTCCCAGACATGTCCACAGGCCGCTGCGAGAGATGCTGGCGGCGACGCCGCGCCCCGCCGCCCTCTACAGCGACTCGATCGTCGGCGCGTGGATCGCTTGGAAGAGGAGCGATGGCGGCGGCGGCGGCGGTGATGGTTGCGGCGGCGGAGGTGGCGCGGCGGGTGGCGCTGCGGCCGCCGGTTTGGGTGGCGCGGGCGGCGGCGACGGTGCGGACGGTGCGGGCGGCGACGGCGCGGGCGGCGACGTGCGCGAGGGCGGCCGCTGGGGCGGCGTGGGCTGCGGCTGCCTCGGAGGGAGCCTTGGCTGTGTACTGACTCTGGGCGCGTCTCCGGCGGTGGAGGGGCTGCTCTCGTCCACGCCACGTCCGGTGACGCGCGCCGAGACGTGTCCGAGACATGTCCCACAGGTGACGGAGCTCCTCTCGACGGCGGCAGCCACCGAGCACTTCACAGTCCTCGTGGCGGAAGGGAGGAGCGACGGCTAACCCTTACCCTGACCCTGACCCTGACCCTGACCCTGACCCTGACGCCTTACCCTGACCCTGACCCTGACCCTGACCCTGACCCTGACCCTGACCCTGACCCTGACCCTGACCCTGACCCTGAGCCCAACCCCAACCCCAACCCCAACCCCAACCCCAACCCCAACCCCAACCCCAACCCCAACCCTAATCCTAGGTGCGACGGCTCCGGGCACACCACCGCCGCGGCGCTCGCCGGCGTGGCTCCGGTGGTGATGATCGAGCCGGGCGCGGCGGCGCGATGCATGCCGTTTGTGCAGCTGGTGCTGTGCGCCGCACACGCCGTCGGCGAGGACGGCGGCGCCATCTGCGATATCGGCGCCCTCACGCTCGCGCACGTTGCGGCGGCGCACCGGGTGCCGTTCTGTGTCGCGGCGCCGCACTACACTTTCCGCCGCGCGGGCACCCCGGGCGCGGAGGAGCTGGCGCCGCCGCTGCCGCCGCTGCCGCTCACGTCGGGGCCGCCGTCGTGGCAGCGGCCGACCCGCGACGCGACGCCCGCCCGCCTGGTCACGTGGTTCTTCACCGACGTCGGCGTGATGCCGCCGTCCGCCGTCGTGGACTGGCAGCTCTCTCTCTCGTCGAGAGGCGGAGGGTAGCTTCTTCATACCATACGGACCACCACAGCACACCGAGGTTCCGGCCGTTTGTACCCGACAAGTGTGGGCCACGCGCCCCGTGTACACGCATAATCCACGGTAAATACGGGGCAACGGGGGTGGCCCGCCTGTCAGTCGGGCCGGGGGGCTTCAGAGCCCGCCGAGCGCCTGCGGGGTCGCGCGCGTTGTCTCTCGAGCGCGCTGGGTGTGTCGTGAAAGTCTCTCTATCGCGTTGTGACATAATACACATTGACAGATACATGTGTACATGTTGTACGACTGACTGGACGCACGGCGCTCACACTGTTCTGACACTGACCAGGGGACGGGCCCGTGGTGCACGCGCTCGATCGAGAGTCAGCCAACCCCCTCCACGCTCTTCCAACGCCCCGTCCACCTCGTTCGCCCTGTCGTCGGATCCGACACCACTTCCTTGACGAATGAATGGCTCGAGCGAGGGTGCCCCGCTGCTCCCTCTGCTGCTTCCGCTGCTCCTGCTCCTGCCGGTTGACGTTGCTGCTGTTGGTGCTGCCGCGGATGCTGCTGCTGGTGCTGCTGCTGCTCCCCCTCCTTTAGCCGGCCCGAGGGAGGGGCGGGAGGGGGACTGGCAGCGCCGCCAGAGATGACATTAGGGCGGCTGCCGCCAATGGGCGCGTGGTGCCTTACGCCCACGAGGTGCTTGGGGTGGCTCGATGAGGCGTTGGCAGCGGCGCGGGCGGCATTGTGATGCTTGAGCGCGAGGGCGTTGCGATCGGCGTGCGAGATGGGGCACATCCCGACGAGCCTGGGCGGATCGGCGCACCCGACGTAGACCCACGGGATGCAGTACCGGCGGAGGCCGACGGCTGAGCGGTTGAAGGTCCGCGCGTCCGTGCGGTGGAAGGCAACCTTCTTGACCGTCACGTTCTCAGAGTCGAGCAGCTCCTGCAAGGCGTACTCGGATTGGAGCGGGTCGTTGGGGGAGCAAGACTCACCCGCCGGTGCGCCACGCGGGCACGTGGGGTGGCGTCGATGCGTCGGGTCGCTCCACGCGCGCATGGCGCCCTGCATCCACGCCGCCAGGTGCCGGGCGTGCTCGTCAAAGGTCTCCCCAAAGAGCACGCGCGCGGCAGCGGCGTTTGCAAAGTAGATCTTGTCGGAGTAGCTCCCAAAGCCGCATCGCTCGTCCACAAGCACCGTCGGCCGCACTGCCCGCTCACGCACCGAGACCGATGCGCCGACGCCGAGCGCGGGCGCGAGTGCGGAGAGCGAGACAAGCGGAGGCAAGAAGAGGTTATCTTCCCGCATGTAGAGGTAGGCGTCGTACTGCGGAGCGGCCGAGTGGGCGAGCCGAAACGCGAGATGACGCAGGTGCAGCATGTGGCCGTTGGTCTGCCATCGGCTCTCAAAGTTGGGCATCTGCCGCGCGGCGCCCCACCAAGCCTCGGCCGTGGCGAAGACGCCGCGCCGCCCGTGGAGTACGACTGCCTCTCGAAGCGCCTCGATCTCGGCGTCGAGGCGTGCCTGGTCGAGTAGCTCGACGACAACTTCGCGCGCACCCAGCGCCTTGAAGTCGGTGACCAGGCGGGCTCGCTCCGGCGCAGCTGCGGGCTGGATCACGCTGGCCGTCCACGCAACCGCCCCCTGCATCTGCAGCGGTGGGTAGGGGGTGGTCAAGCTAGGCGCACCAAGACAGGCAAACCGGAATGGGAGGCGTCGCGCCCCCACGGACCGGGCTACCCTCTCAACAACAGATCTCCGGGGCCACCACGCACCTGTAGCACGAGGAAGACATCAACCGACGGGAGGCAGCCCTCGGAGGTGGGGTCGGCGAAGAGAGGGCGTAGGCCGCTGCCGTCTTGCGCGAATGGGTCGTCGAGCAGCCGGTCCGCGATGCCGCTGATGAGCAGCGCGACGGAGCTCGAGCACCAGGGGCGATGGCGAGTCATCTGTGGCCTGACTTTAGGGACGCGCGCACCAACTTTGGGCGCTGCATTTCGGGGCAGAAAGAATTTTAGAACGAGGCGGTCGCATGACACGATTCGCGCGACAGGCGAGGAGCGGGCGACGGCTTCCTCAGAAACCGTCGCCCGCACCACAGGAGCAGTCACACCACTCCCACCCCGGCGCCCACCCACTCCCCACCCCGACATCGAACCCCGACATCCCCACCACGCTCCACAACCCCGCCCCACCCCGACCCGAGCAACCCCGCCCCACCCCGACCCGACCCGATCCACCCCGCCCTGAAAGAATTTAATCTTCTCACAGCCCACAGGCTGTTTCAACAGGCTCGAGACGTGCCGTCCCGCGTCCGTCCTCCCATCCCTTGAGCACTTGAGCACTTGATAGGGTCGGTTCCGCATGGTACGGGACCCCTCGATCGTCTCGCCCTCCCTCACTGGTGTGCTCATTGGGGGGGGGGTCATAACAAACACGGTACAGGATCGAGGTGCACGCTGCTGAGGGACCCCAGAGGGTAGATCGAGCAGTCGTCGTCCCCCCTCTCCATCATCTCTCCTTTGATTGCGTATTTTCTTTCTTTCTTTCTTTACACAGGTTCGAGACTCCTCCCATCCCTCGCTTGGGTTGTCTGTTTCCTTTCCTTCCCTTTACACAGGTTCGTGCCGCGTCCCGTGCCCCCGAGTTCATTTTAATAACAGGTTCGACACACACAGGTACGGTCGTCACAGGACGAAAAGAGGCGCAAAGAAAGAAAGAAAAGAGACACCTCAAGGGAGGGATGGGAGGACGGCACGCCGCCACCACACAGGGATTTTAAGGAGAGGGGTGTGATGCGCCAGCCGTCGGCAGACCGAATCTTTATTTTTCGCGACGCCGAAGAGAGGGAAAACCATGCACTCCTCCGGTGCCCAGCTCAACAACATCGGCCTGGCGCCTCCCAAGGCGACGCCGTGCCTCCTCCGGCGGCCAGCCGAAGGCCGATCCTCTCCTGAAATATCTCGCTTCGTCATCTCGAGCGACAACGAGAGCGACGGCGAGGGCGGAGGCGATGGCGGTGGTGTTTCAGCGTCCTCCCGGTTGCGCCACTCCGTGACTCCGGGCTCGCTGCTCTCGTGCAACCCGGCCGTTCGCGGCCGGAGGCCCGCCTGCCGGCGCATCGAGTCGGACAGTGAGTCCGACTCTCCGTTCGAGGAGCGGCGGGAGCGGGCGGGAGCGGGCGGGGAGGCGGCCGGCAGAGAGGAGGCTGCACTCGGTGGAGGCGGCGGCGTTGGCGGCGGCGGCGGCAGCGGCGGCGGCACGCCCTCCGACGGAGTGGCCTCGCGGGCGATGGTCGGGCTCGAGGCTGCGCTCTCGTGGCGCGGCGTCGTGCGGCGCGACTGGGCGCAGCTGCGCGCGACGTGGCTGCACCGCGTGGGCAGCTGCGGTGACGACGTGGACCGACTGCGCGGCCTGCTGGCGCACCTCGAGAGGGAGTGCCTCCACCCCTCGCGGCTCGATGGCAGCGAGGGCGGCGCGGCAGGCCTCGGCGATGCCTGGCTGCGCCGGCGCAGCGGGTGGCACGCCAGGCTTCGACACACGACATACGCCTTCCCCTCTCCAGCTCTCTCCTCCCTGATCTCGCCGTCACGCGCCAATCCCCCCCTCTGCGCCTGCCCCTCCAGCGGGTGCCACCCGACCCTCCCCCTGTGCCCCCACCCCCGCCCCTCCCAGGCTCGCGGCGGCCTCGGACGAGCACTCGCTCGCGGCCCTGGCGTCCGAACTCGGCCGTGCGGTCGGCTGCTCACACGGCCTCCAAGGCTCACGCGGTCTTGGGCACGCCTCCCCCTCCTCCTCCCGCCCACCGTCCGCGCCGCAGCTCCGCCCGCCGCCTCCCCGCTCCGTCCCTCTCGCGCCCCAGCGAGGCGAAGACCGAGGCGGCGGCGGCGGCGGCGGCGGCGGCAGTTTTGGCGGTGGAGGACTCGAGCAGTGGCGGCCGCGGAGCCTGCGGCCACGCACGGACGGCGTCTCGTATGACGACACGGCGGGTGCGCGCGGCCGGATGGAGGGGGGGGGGCTGTGGTGGCAGTGGCACCATGGCAGGGTGTGTCATTGGGAGGCATCCCCCCCCGCCCCTTGCCCTCTGAGCGGTGCCATCTCCGTCCCTCTGCCCCTCCCTCGCCCGTAGGCGCCGACTCGGAGGGCGCCGGCAGCGCGGAGCCGCGGCCGCGCCCGTCGCCGCGCCCCTCCCACCTCCGGCGCCGGACCGCGATCTTGTGTGTCGGCGCCGCGTGACGACGCTTTGCTGCAGCCCGTGCCTCGAGTGCCTGTAGGCCCATGCACGGCATGCACGGTGTCTCGTACGACGACGCGCTCGGCGCCGACTCGGACGCCAGCAGCAGCGGTGGCGGTGGTGGGCGGGCGGGCGACCGAGGCGACAGAGGCGGCGGAGGCGGCAGAGGCGGTTGCGGAGAGGGTGGGGGGCGCTGCATCGCGGGCGGTGGGGCGGCACGGGCGCGGCGAAGGCGCCGTGTGCTAGAGAGCACGCAGAGCTCCTCAGGCCAAGGGGTCTCGAGCGGGCATGCCGGCGGCAGCAGCGAGGGCAGCGACAGGGGCAGTAGCGGCAGCGGCGGCAGGGAGAACGGCAGCGGCAGCGACAACGGCAGCGGGTTTGCCAGCAGCAGCGACAGCGGCAACGAGAGCGGCGGTGGCGGTGGCGGCTGTGCGGAGGTCCCCTCTCACGATGGCTCGCTCGGCGGCGTTTCCTCCTCCTCCTTCGCAGCCTCTGCGGCCGCCAGCGCAGCGAGGCGGAGGAGTGGCCGGAACCGCGATCAGCCTCTGCCGGTCTACAACGAGGACCAGCTCGAAGGGCGGCGCGGCAGAGGCGGCGGCGGCGGCAGCAGCGCCAGCGGCGGCGGCACGCCTCGCCTGCCGTCCTCGACGCCGCGGCCGGCGTCACAGAGGCGGCGGCCGCCCTCTGCCTTGTCTTCTGCGGATGGCGGCGGCGGTGCCGCGCGCCACTCCCCTGCTTGCGGCGGCGCGCCGGGCGGCGCTGGCGCGGCGCGGCGGCGCTTCGAGGAGCGTCCGTCGTCGTCGCTGGAGGCGGCGATGGACCCACCTTCGGACGACTCTCGCTCCGACGGCGGCGGCGACGAGGGCGCTGCGCTCGGCGCGGGGGTGTTGCGGCGCGGCTTGGCGGTGCGGGACGCGTACCTCAAGGCGCACGAGCGGGTCGAGGCGGTGGTCGGGTGGAGGAGAGGCGGCGGCCAGGGAGAGGAGCGCTACTTGGCGAAGCTGCGCGGCCGGTCGCACCTCCACTGCTGCTGGCTCACTGAGGCCAAGCTGGCGCACGCGGGCGAGCACCGGCCTTTGGCGGCGTGGCGGCAGACGGTTGAGGGGGCGGCGGCGGCGGGTGGGGGGGCGGAGGAGCTGCTCGCTCCGTGCCTCGCGGCTTGCGTCGAGGTTGGTGCGGTGCTCGACATCAAGCCGCCGCGCGGCAAGCGGCGCGCGGTCCGGCGCAACTCGACGGCCCTCTCCGCGGCGCTGCTCGACGAGGAGGAGGACGCCGGCGATGGGGCGCGTTGCGGCGGGGAGGGGAGGGTGGGCGGCAGCAGCGGGATGGAGGGCAGCATCGGGTTGGAGGGCGATGCCACCGGCGGCGCCGAGCCGTGGCAGAGCGGCGAAGCGAGGCGTGACCAGAGTGGCGACGAGAGCGGCGACGCGAGTGGCGACGAGAGCGGCGAGTGGAGTTGCGGGGAGGAGCCGGAGGTGTTGCCGCTGGCCGACCCTCTGTCTGGCGACGAGGAGGAGGAGGGGGGAGAGGAGTACGTGCCCCAGCCGCGCCGCGGAAGGAGTGCGGCGCACCTAGAGGAGCGTTCGCTGCAGCTACCTCCCCCAATGGGGCGAGACACGGCCAGCGGCCAGCTCGAGCGCGCCGCGTGTCGCGGCACCACCGCAGCGCTGAGGCTGCCTCGCTCCGGCTCGCTGCTCCTTGTGCGGTGGCGCGGGCTCGGCTGGCCGCACTCGACTTGGGAGGCGTGGAGGGATGTGCGGCACGCCGCCGGCGCGCCTCGGGCGTGGAGCGTGTTCCTGCAGCTGAGTGCGACGCCGCCCGCGCCCGCGCCCGGCGAGGAGGCGATGCGCCGCGCGCAGGCTCAGCCTTTCGACGCGGCCGCTGCGGAGGTCGGCGCGCGCGCGGGGCTTCGCGGGTACCAGGAGGAGGGCGTGCGCTGGCTGCTCGCCTGCTGGCACGCGGGGCGGTCGTCGATCCTCGCAGACGAGATGGGACTCGGCAAGACAGCGCAGGCGCGTCGGCTTCCCATGTGTGCGTGTGGCACAGTCGCGCCCGGCTTTCGTTTCAGCCGACGGGTGACGGGTTAGGCGTTGCTCTTCCTCGACTGGCTCGCGCGCCACCGCAGCGTCGCGGGCCCGTTCCTCGTCGTCGCTCCCCTCTCCACGCTCGCGCACTGGGAGCGGGAGGCGGCCCACTGCACGGCCCATGACGATTCCTCGAGCCGTGATTGATCGGCGTGGTCAATGGCGGGATCAGGCGGCCCGCTGGACGACTCTCCGCTCCGCCGTCGTCCACGGTTCCGCCGAGGCGCGCAGGGCGCAGCTGCGGTACGCTCTGGCCCATTGCGACGAGGATCGCGTCCGCACGCGGCCGGCGTCGGGGATAGTCGACATGTCCCGGACGTGTCGTGGGCATGTCTTGTAGGACGGCGTCCGCACCGGCCGGCTGCGGGTGGAGCTCGTGGTGACGACCTACGAGCTCCTCTCGATCGAGGGCGCGGCGCTGGGAGCCGTGCCGTGGCGGCAGGTCGTCGTCGACGAGGCGCGCCGCCCCAAGAGTGAGGAATGAAGAGTGAAGGCATGAGGAGTGAAGGCATGAGGAGTGAAGGAATGAAGAGTGACGCGTGCCTGGTGCTCGACGAGGCGCACCGCCTCAAGAACCCGCGCTCGAAGCTCGCGATCGCGCTGCGCGCCCTCTCGGCGGGCGGCGCGCGCTGCACGCTGCTCACCGGCACAGCACCTGCTAGGAACCTTCTAGGAACCTTCTAGGAACCTTCTAGGCGCGCGCTGCACGCTGCTCACCGGCACGCCGATGCAAAACAACATCGGCGAGCTCCTCTCGCTGATGGAGGTGGTGGACGCGGCCGCGTTTGGCGGCGAGGAGCGGCGCGCCGAGCTGCTCGAGCGGTACCGCACCATCAGCAACCCGGAGCAGGTCGCGGAGCTGCAGGCGCTGCTGCGGCCGTATATGCTGCGCCGCACCAAGGCCGATGTGCAGGAGAAGCTGCCGCTCAAGACGAAGACGCTGGTCAAGGTGGAGCTCACCGTCCCGCAGAAGCGCGTCTACCGCGCCGTGCTCGACCGCAACCTCGCGCACATCGCCAACCCGCGCGCCTCGCTCTCCAACGCCTTCATGCAGCTCCGCAAGGCGTGCAACCACCCTCGCCTCCTCGAGGGCGGCGCCGACGGCGAGGAGGAGGCGATCCGGCGCGCCCTCGACGCCGCCAGGGAGCTGGAGGAGGTCGGCGGCGGCGCCGCCCGCGCCGCCGCCGCCGCCGGGCTGCAGGCCGAGGTGGAGGCGGGGGTGGAGTCGCTCGTGCACGGGTCGGGCAAGATGGTGCTTCTGCACAAGCTGCTGCCGCGGCTGCGGCGGGGCGGGCACAAGGTGCTGCTCTTCTCGCAGTTCAAGATCATGCTCGACATCCTCGAGGACTACCTGCTGCTCCGCCGGCCCGAGCTGGGCGGGTACGAGCGCGTCGACGGCGACGTCGCCGGCGCCGAGCGGCAGGCGGCCATCATCGTCCCGTTCCGCGACCGTTCCCAGACCTTTCCCAGACCTCTGCTGCGCCCTTTGCGCAGGCGGCTATCGACCGGTTTCAGGCGGACGAGGACTGCTTCGCCTTCCTGCTCACGACCCGCGCCGGCGGACAGGGCATCAACCTGACCGCCGCCGACACGGTCGTCATCTTTGACAGCGACTGGAACCCGCAGGGCGATCTCCAGGGGCAGGCGCGCGCGCACCGGATCGGCCAGTCGAGGCCCGTCAAGGTGTACCGGCTCGTGACCAACAACACGTGCGCGAGCGCGCCCCGCTCGTGCGGCACGTCCAGGACACGTCCACACGACATGTCCGAGACATGTCCCCACAGGTACGAGCAGCGCCTCTTCGAGCGCGCCTGCCTCAAGCTGTCGCTGGAGCGCGCGCTCCTGCAAGGCGACTTTGGCGCCGCCCGCAGCGGCGAGCAGGGCCGCGGCGGGCGAGGCTCCAGCAGCCGGCTGTCGCGCAGCGAGCTGGACGAGCTGTTGCGGTATGGCGCGTACGGCGTGCTGCGCGGCGACGACGAGGCGGCCCGCACCTTTTGCGACGCGGACATCGACAAGCTGCTCGAGGAGTCGGTGGAGGTGACGTACGGCGATGGGCCTTGCGCCGTGGTCGGGGGCGGCCCTCGCGGGGCGGAGTGCGGCGGAGGTCCGGCGGGAGGCAGCCTCTTTTCCCGCGCGAGCTTCGTGGCGGCCGGCGCGGGCGGCGGAGGAGGCGGAGGAGTGGAGGAGCTGTCGCTGGACGACCCCGACTTTTGGGCAAAGATGCAGCGGATGCAGCGGCCGGAGGGGGCGGCGGGCGCGGCGGCGGGGGCGGCGGGCGAAGAGGTGGCGGCGACGGCGGGGCGTCGGACGCGGAGCGGGAACCCCGCCTGCGCCGGCGCGGCAGCCTCGAGGGGGGGCAGGCGGCAGCGGGCGAGGGAGGCGGCCGCCGCTGCAGGCGTCGTGCCTGCCGGAGTCGCGCCCGCAGACGTCGCGGCGCAGGAGGAGGAGGAGGAGCGGGGCGGGCGCGCGGAGGCGGCCACCGACGCAGGGAAGGCGGGCCGCCGCCGCCGGTGCGGCGCCTGCTCCGGCTGCGTCTCTGCCAACTGCGGCGAGTGCGCCGCCTGCCGGAGCATGGTTTGCTTCGGAGGCTCCGGCGCGAGCAGGCAGGCGTGCGCGCGCCGGCGCTGCCTCCAACCGAGAAGGATCCTCCCGCCGCCCGTGCGGCCGCCCGCGCCGCTGTCGCCCGCGCAACCGTCACGCGGGCCGCTCGAGCTCGGGGACTACGTCCTTGTCGACGACGCGGAGCACGGCGAGCTGCTCTTCTTCGTCTTCAGACATGTCCAAGAGACAGGACGCGAGACATATCCGAGACACGTCCATAGGCGAGCTGCTCTTCCGCATCTTCCACTTGGTCGCCAAGCCGGACGGGCTGCACGACGTCCGCGCGGTCAAGGAGGTTCAGCCCGCCATATCTCCCCCATATCTCCCCCATATCTCCCCATATCTCCCCACGGTCAAGGAGGTTCAGCCCGCCATATCTCCCCCATATCTCCCCACGGTCAAGGAGGTTCAGCCCGCCTCGGCCGAGATGTAGCCGGCTCGCAGCTCTCGTTGTCTTGCTCTCACCGCCGTCTGTCTGACTCAGGACGAGCTCGACTACATCGTGCCCGCCGCCGAGGAGGAGCCCATCTTCCTCCGCCGCAACCGCGACGGCAGCCTCGACTTCCCACCCGACGTGCGGCCCGCGCCGGCGAGCGCCGCGCAAGGTAGCACTCCGGAGGAGTCACGGGACGCGCAGAGCGGCGCCCTCGTCTGGGCCTTCGCCTTCGAGGAGCTGGGCCCGAGCGCCCCCTCCTCTTCCGCCCTCTCGCTGCCCGGCCCGGGCGGCGTGTGGCGCACCGCGGTGGTGCGGCGCGAGCGGCGCGACCGCTTCACCTACCAGCGATGCCTCGTCGCCCCGGACGGCCGGCAGTGGCGGGGCAGCCAGCTGCGGCAGCTCGCAGAGCACCTGTTCGCCTCGCGGCCAGAGCAGCTGCGGCAGGCCCTCTACATGCTCAACTTGCCGCCCGACCGCGAGACGGGCGAGGAGTCGGAAGGAGGGGCCGCCAGCGGCGTGCCGTCGCCCGCAGTGGCCGGTGCGCTGCCGCAGGAGCTGGGCGACGCCGCCGCACCACCACCACCACCGCCGCCACCGCCGGCAGCGCTCGCGCCAGGGCGGCGCTTGGGCGGCGCGGCAAAGGCGGCGAGGCGAGGGGAGGAGGAGGAGGAGGAGGACGAGTTTGAGATCAAGTCGCAGCTGCCGGAGCGCAAGAGGTTGCGGCCGGCGGCGCCCAAGCGGCCCAGGCCGCCGGCCGCGCCAGCGGACGAGCCTGCAGCGCGAATGGAAGAGGAGGCGGGAGCGGCGGTGGCGGTGGCGGAGGCGGAGGCGGCCCCTCCTCTGCCCATGGCTGGTGGCGTTGCCGCGGTAGCGGAGGTCCTGCCTGCTGCCGCCGTCGCGCTTCCGCCGGCGGCGCTTCCGCTGCTGGACCTGTGGAGCGTGCTGCCGGGCGGGCGGGTGACGGGGCAGGTCGTGGGCAAGAGCTAGAGAGGGCCCTTCCGGCGTCTCGCTTCTGAGGCGTCCGTTCTCCGCCGCCCCTGTAGGTCTTTGGCAAGCCGGGCATCCGCGACGGGACGAGGATAAACACGGCGCGGGTGGTAGAGGGCGTGACGCCCTCCGCTGGGTCGACGCTGCGCACCATCTCGGGCTCGAACTACATCCTCGGCGAGGCGTGCCCCGGTGTGGGCGGAGGGGCGGCGCTGTGACGGGGGGGGGGGGGGGGTGCGCTGTCGTACATGCACAGCTTTATAGTACGTATATGTTATGTGAGCGCGCGTGAGAAACATTCTTAGAGCATCGGCGCGGCGACAGATCACGAGCAGGCGGCCAGGCGCGTTTTGACGGATATCAACTTGGATATCAAAAAATTGAAGCAAACACCTGTCACCGGACACCCGCCTCTCGGTCTCGCCACACATAGCACATTCGGCGATTTTTTTCTGAATTATGTACATACGTACTCTCTAGCGTTGGCCGTTGCCCACGATCCGAATTGGGTTGCTTGGGATTTTGATTCGGGTGCCCGAGGCGCGAGGCTTGGCGAGGGCACGCTCAACTATGCAGCGTGCGACACCGTGGCGAGGTCGACCTGCAGCTCCTTTTGCAGCGGCTCGAGCCTCTCCGCCAGCAGCCTCTCCGCCTGCGCCACGTCGAGCTGCGCCGCCGCCTCCTCGGCGCTGCTCACCCCCTTTGCGAGCTCGAGCACGATCTCCCACTGCACGCGGCCGAGCGCCTGCGCGTTGGCGTAGGTCACGTTGCCCGCCCCGCCGTAGCAGACCTGCCGTCGTGAGCACACACAAGCCGGGCTTTGAGTGCCGTGCGGTGTCTTCGGAGCGTCGCATGAATGCACGGGGTACGAGTACAGCCGCACACAGCCGCGTACAGCTGAATGCGAGTCCTCTCGACAGGGACCTGTGCTCAGCATCTAGGGTCGCGCACCATGGCGTAGCGCGAGCGGAAGCGCGCGCCGAGGGGCGAGTTCTCGAGCGCGTTCTCCACCGCCTTGCAGAGGCGGAACTGCGGGTCGGCCGTGCTCGACTGCATCTCGACGTAGTTCTCGAGCGCCATGTCGGCGATCGCGTCGGCGTTCGGCTTCCGCGCAGCCTCAAAGGCGGCGAAGGCGGCGGCGTAGCCGGCGGGCGACGCGACGGCCGGCGCGGCGTGCTCGTCGAGCAGCCGCACCAGCTCGTGGACGTCCTCGAAGCCGCAGTTCATCCCCTGGCCAAAGAAGGGGACGATCGCGTGCGCCTACCGATCACGTTGAGGACACGTCCACGACACGCCCGAGTCAGGGCCGAAGAAGGGAAGGAGGGGAAAGACGCGCCGCGTCGCCGACAAGCACCGCCTTGCCCCCCACAGCCCACTGGCGCGCGCGCACGGTGCCGAGGATGCCGCGCGGGTTCTCGGCCAGCTGGCGCGCCGCCGCCTCGACCCCGCCAAGCAGCGGCAGCGCGGTGGCGTAGTGCGCCTCCAGGAAGGCCGCCGCCGAGGCCACGCCTTGCGCCTCGACATGATCAAAGGAGGCGCCGGCAGAGGCGTCGTCGGCGAGGGTGGCGTCGCCCGCCTGGGAAGAAGGGCGCTGTGGGTGCCTCAAGCAGAGAGGGGTGGCGAGGCGGCGCCGTCCGCCTGGTTGAGCATGTAGATGGTCCCGGTGAAGGAACCGTCGAGGTTGGCCAGCCCCATCAGCATGTGCGACCCGCGCGGCCAGATGTGCAGCCCGTGCCTCGCCATGCCGCCCGCCTCGGCCGCCGCGCGCGGGAAGGACATCTCCTTGTAGCCTACGGGGGATGGCCGAGGAGGCTCCTGGAAGGGCCCTGGCAGGCTCCGGGTAGGGCATCCTCCGTGCGGCCAGAGTCGAGGAGCGAAGAGTGCACGGCACACGCGCCCGCGCTGCTCAGCGCCTGGCGCACCGCGGAGCCGCCGCCGTCCGCGGCCACCACCGGCCCGCCGCACCGCACGACCACCTGGTGTCGGGCAGGAGCGGGCGGCAAGGGTCGGGGCGGGTACGAAGGGCGGTCGCCCCTCGCACGCGGGGTGCAGTGTCTCGGAAGTGCCGCGCCTCGCGCTCGGCGCCAGTGTTGTCCTCGGCGTGCAGCGCAGAGTCGAGCACGCCGCGCTGGCCGGAGGCCTCGTGCGGGGCGGCGAAGGTGAGCACCGGGTACTCGCCCTCCAGCTCCACGCCGAGGAGCCGGTGTCCGAAGCGCAGCGTCGCGCCCGCCGCCTCGGCCTCGCTGATCAGGAATTTGTTGAGCTCGTACCGCGAGATGGAGTAGTTGAACTCGGAGTCATCCTTGCCGTACCGCTGAAAGATGGGCTCGCCGCCCGCGTGGATCACGCGGCCGGTGACGCGCACGCCGAGCTCGAGCAGCCGCGCACGCACGTCGTCCGGAAGCAGCGTCAGCGCACGCAGCCCGCGCGCCGTGGCGACGAGGTTGATGGAGCGGCCGGACGACGGGATGGCGCGAATGTCGCCGTACCTCTCGTAGACGGTGACGCGGTAGCCTCGCCGCGCAAGCACCGTCGCGAGCAGCGCGCCGACGAGCCCAGCGCCCACGATCGTGATGGGTTGACTGCCATCGGCCATGTCGGAACAGAAAAGAAATTTGAGCGGGGGCGTGCCGTCCTCCCATACCTCCCTTGGGTTGCGTGTTTTCTTTCTTTTCTTTCTTTCCTATGGCTGTCCGTTTTCTTTCTTTCTTTCGGTCGCAATGCCCGACTCGGCGGCGTCGGCAGTCGGTCTCGCCTCGCGACGCTCTTCGTGCTCGAACGAGCAACGCGACGTGCAGGCGGAACGAGCACGAGGCACTGTGCACAGCCGCACATGTGTATGTCAACTGGCTCTCTGAAACGCGGCACGCCCGGGACCTTCTTGTCTCCCCTCTCTCTCTCAACCCTCGGTCGTCGGTTGGTGCGTCGAAAGGAGAAGTCGGAAAACAGTGCACGCCTGTATTGCAATACGCCGGTTTGCATGATGATGACCTCGGTCGTCGGTCGGTGTGCCGAACGCCCGTCGAAAGGAAGTCGAAGACCAAACTACCCCCTGTATCGGAGTTATGGTCCTGATTCGCGTCCATTCTCTGCGACTACTCGTGTCGGCAGTGTCTACCGTGAGGAGCCCAGGAATGGGAGCCTTGCCGCCTACCTCCACCTCTCCGCTGCATCCATTGACCAACTCGAGGCTGAAGGCGCCACATTCTCCGACGGAGTCGCGCCGGACGCCGATCCTGCCGTGGCGACGGGATCCTTCGCGCAAGTTGACGCCCAGTGCGCGGTCGCACAGCCCCCGCTACCCCCAGCCTCGCCCAGCCCCTTGTCGCCACCGCCTCCCTCGGCACCGCCACCACCATCGCCGCCGCCGTCGCCACCCGCCTCACCGTCGCCGCCGTCGCCACCGCCGTCGCCCCCGGCGCCGCCGTTGTCACCACAAGCTACAAAGTGCACAGACATCACTACTTGTCTCTTCGGTGACGGAGTGCCACAAAAGGGCACCATATGTGCTGCCAACGTCAATGCAACCACCTACGGCGGCTGCTGCTACTCTGGGGCTGTGTGCAGTGCTGTTGTGCCGGATCCCACCAAAGACGACCCATGCCCTCCAGGTCAAACGTTTTGCGCTTACCCTTGACCCTTGCTGAGGGAAGGCGTGGGCACGCTGGCACGGTGTGGACGGCCCACGGAAGGAAGAGGGGAACGGCTCGCGCTGAAGAGGGCGCAATCCGTTGAGGTTGTCTAACTGGACATGACTGTGGACTGACTCTGACCGGCGGCCACACTTTGAGTGCCGCACACACACACACACTGCCATCTTTTTGCCACGGTGTGCTCACACAGTGTCGGGATGGGCGGCGCTTGCATGATTGTCCATTGTTTCTCTGGGATTGTCGTGTGGGGATGTCCACATTGTCCCGCTACCGCAAGGTGAGAGCGGTGACGGGTGAGCCTGAGCGGTGTCGTCCCGGCTCCCGCCCGTGTCCCTCGCGGGAGGAGAAGGTAAGGTAAGGTAAGGTAAATTTCTCCACACACACAAAGTGGTGGGGCAAGCGCAAGGGGGGGGGTGGGAGGAGAGGCCAAGAGCGCAAGAGGGGGGGGAGCCCCTCTGCCATGCACAATCGCTCGGACTCGAGAGTCGCAGTCAGATCACCGCCTGTCACCGGTTTGGCTGAGGGAAAAATCTGTCTCATATCTCACAACTCTCTCAAAGAAACATACCAGTCTGAACGCGCTCGACTACCCGGGCGCCGGCGCGGGCGGCGCCACGAACCGGTCGAGCGGGTCGTACGGCTTCGGCGGCGCGCCCGCGCCGCCGCTGGCGCGGTTGGTCCGCTTCTTGCTCTTCGCCTGCTCCTGCGCCTCGAGCTGCGCCTTGCGCCGCTGCCGCTTCTCGTCGATGATGTTGCCCTCCTTTTTGGCGGCGCGGCGCGACGCCTTTGACCGGCCGCGCGTCTTGCGCTTCGCCCTGCGGTTCGCCTTGATATCGGCGATGCGCGCCGCGTTGGCGGCCTGGATCTCGCGCTGCCGCTCGCCCTGGTTGCGGTCGACCTTACCGAGCTGCTGCGGGTCGAGCGTGATCGTCTCGGCGGGCAGCTTCTCGAGCAGCGCCACCACCTGCAGGGGAGATGCGGCGAGGTATGGTGGCGAGATCTGGCGAGATGTGGCGAGCCAGTTTGGTGCCCTTGCCCCGCGCCGAGGAGATTGGTGCGGCGAGGTGCGGCGAGGTGGCGAGGTGCGGCGAGGTGGCGAAGTGCGGCGAGGTGGCGAGGTGCGGCGAGGTGTGGGGGAGGTGCGGGGAGGGGGGGGGGGCAGCATGGGGAGATGTGGGGAGATGTGGGGGAAATGTGGGGGAAATGTGGGGGAAAGGAGCACCTCCGCCTCGCGCCGCTGCGTGCGCGTCTCGAAGGGGTTCGCCTCGAAGGCGTCAAAGTTTGGCTCTCCGGCGCCCGGCACCAGCACCGACGAGTAGCCGCGCGAGTGGCCGACGCCGAGCACATCCTCATACGGGCAGAAGCGGACCAACGTCGCCTCGCGGCCTGGCAGCCGGTGCCTGCGGGACGTGTCTCGGACGTGTCGTGGACGCGTCGTGGACGTGTCCGCCTCGCGGCCGGGAAGCCGGTGCGTCATGTACGGCGCGGAGGCGCGCGCGGCGAGGCCGTCCTTGAAGACCTGCACCGCCGCGCCGCACGCCGCCGCGAGCAGCCCGCGGTCGGAGACGTCCATCGACGTGACGGGCCGCGGGGTGCGGTACGAGTGCAGCGGGCGGTAGGTGCGCACGTCCCACACCTGCGAGAGTCTCGAACCCAACTGACATCCGACTGAACACGTCCTCGCGCGTGCCAGCCGCAGGACGCGGCTCTTTGGCTCCGCATCTCGTGCCGCATCTAGCCCGCCCAAGCCTTGAGCGTGCCGTCGCGGCCAGAGGTGGCGAGGTAGCGGCCGGCGCGGTCGATGGCGAGGTCGGCGACAGCTCCCTTGTGGCAAAGCAGCTTCGCGACCGGCTCGTGCATGTTGGGCGTCCAGAGCGTGACGGTGCCGTTGGTGTGCCCGAGGTGCACCACCGCGTTGTACGGCGAGGCGCGCATGCAGTCGCACTCGCCGAGCCGCGTCCGGATGTCGGAGACGTTTTCGCCTAGAGGAGACGGTACGGGAGCGGTCCAGAGGCTGGTCCAGGAAGAGACGCGGAAGTCACCAGACAGGCTCGCCGGTGGAGACGTCGAGATAGCGCAGCTGGCCCGTCGAGCCGACCTGAGGGCGGCGGGCTCGGTGGAGGGGCGAGGGCGGCGGCGGGCTCGGCGAGGCGGGCTGGGCGGCGGCGGCGAGGGTGGCGGCGGCGAGGGCGGCGGCGAGCTGGGTGGTGGCGGGGACGGCGGTGGCGGGGACGGTGGCGGCGGGGACGGCGGCGGCGGGCTCGGGGGTGGCGGGCTCGGGGGTGGCGTGCTGGGAGAGGGCCGCGGGGACCGTCGCGAGCAGCCAGTGGTACTTGAGATATGCGAGCCGCTGCACGTCCGGCCGGTGCGAGCGGAGGCAGTGCAGCTCGGTGCCGGAGGCGTCGTAGATGTACAGGTTCTTGTGCTGCGCGACGGCGAACATCGTGTGGTCGCGCAGAAAGGTCAGGTCTCGCACCTAGCGGCGCAGGACTCGGACACATCGCGGGGACGTGTCATGGACACGCCGTGGTCGCGCAGAGTTTCTGCGAACCGTCTCCCGCAGCTGCAGTTCAGAGAGGACGTGGAACCCTCCCTCCCACCTGCGGTTGTACGAGGCCACGTCGAGGCGGCGCCGGAGCGGAGGCGGCGGGCGGCGGTGGGAGCGGCGGCGGGGGCCGCGGCGGCGGCAGTGTGCGCGGCGGGTGGCGGCGGCGCGGTGGCGGTGCGGCGGCGGGCGGGCGGCGGCGCGGCGGCGGGGGTGGAGGAACAGGGAGGCCTCAGACAAACCGCGTTGTGTCGGCAGCCACCCGCGGACGGGCGCTGGGCAGACTTGTACGAATGAGCTGGTCCTCACAGGCGGGCTTGGCGGGGCTGGCTTGGCGAGGGTGCGGCGGGGGCGCTGTCTCACCGCGCGACGGCGACGTGCCCCTTTCGCCCTCCGAGGAGGAGGCGGCGTCCGTTGGCGGTGAAGGCGACACGGTACGGCCCGAGGTCCGGCAGCTGCACCTCGTAGGCCTTTGCCGCCGTCTGCTCGTCCACCATCGCCGCGAGCTGCGACTGGCGCACCCTGCAAGTGCGCTCGAGCGGGCCCTCCGCCTCGAGGAAGCCCGCCTCGCTGGGCTGCAGCACCTCGGCCTGCGCCGCCTTGCGCTCCGCCGCTCCTATCTTCGCCTCGCCCCGCTTGATCGACCGCTTCAGCCCCGGCTTTGTGACGCCCTTGGATGAGTTGCCATCGCCGCGCGAGTAGCGCGAGAGGCGCTTCCGCTCGGCGGCATTCATCTTGCCGCCATCGCTGGCAGAGAGGAGCTTGGGATGGCCTCTGGACTTGGCCATCGGCGGTGGGAGCGGAGCGGAAGGGGTAGCGGCGTGGCCGTGGGCACGCGTGAGCGTGCCTCTTATACGAAAAAAATATAACGGGAGGGAGGGGGGATAGGTGCCGTGTCTCCCTGTCTCCCTTGGGTTGTCTGTTTTCTTTCTTTCTTTCTTTCTGCCGTGGGGAGACAGCGGGTCAGCCGGCGAACCACAAGGCCGGGACCGGAGGAAACGGGTGAGACCTGGAGTCAACTGTCGCTCTGTCGGGGGGGGGGGGAGAGTTGAGCTAACTCGTATGGTTCTTGCACTTGTGCAAGATTGGGCGTCTTCTGCCGCAGTCCCTTTGATGGGAGGCCCCAGGGTGGGGGCCACCTCGAACCCCCGGCCAGGGATTCGAGCGGAGGGTGCCCCGGATTCATCTATCCGTTGGGCCCCGGTACATTCATTAGAACTGATCACTTTGCGCAGCAGCCGTCCCTTCGCCGACTGGACGGCAGTGCGCTGCGTTGTCGCTCTGTCGTGCACGCTCTCGTGCCTCGTTGTTGTGACACGGGAGTAGAGTCGAGAGCGGTAGCCCTCGACGAGACGACCGGCGCTGCGATGCCAGACCTCACTGCCGCCGAGCTCAGCATTCCGGCCGAGCAGCACCCCGATCCCGCAAAGCCACTGGTGATACCCGTCGACTCAACAGTGGTGGGCTCAACCCTGCGCTTCATTCCGTGGTCTGTGGTGGGCAATCCGGCCTTCCTCCAGCTGCCCCCTCCTCCTCCGGGGATGCAACCGTCGTGGGTCCAGATTCCGCAGTGGGTCGCCATCAGTGCGCTGCTCCCCTTCAGTGAGCCCGAGCCCGCTGTGGCCACCCACTTTGACAGGCTCAGCGTCTTGCGGCTGGCCGTATTGGCCGCGGCTTGGCGCCGCATCCTCGGCGCCTTGTCCGACCTCGGCGTTTTCAGCACGGTGCACGTGGATGAGGATGCGTTCCGTACGGTGTGCATCCAGGCTCTGCACTCCCGCCAAATCCCGGTGCCCGAGCTCTATCTGCAGTGGGGCGATTTGGGGTACTCTGAGGCGATCACACCCTTGGGACCAGCGCCATCTGCAGAAGCAAAGGCCGTCGACTTCTTGCAGTACGCGACAGTCGGGGCTCTTTGCGACCCTACGGCCGACGTCCCGTTCGCAGCCCTGTCTGACACGACCCGCTGCTTGGGGCCCGTCTTCACGGCGGCAGCGCGCGTCGATCCCATGGGGAGCGCCGTCGTGGGGGCTGCATCGCTCGCCGCCGCCGCTGGTCACATCACTCCGCGAGCGAGCGATGGGCACCCCTCCCTGCTCGCTCGGCATGTGCTCAGCATGCTGAAGACTACCCGCTCGAGTTTCCCGGCCTGCCTGAGGACCAACTCTTTTCAGAACTACTCTGCGGAGGTTGAGACTCCGCGCCTGGCGCGACCGCCTTCAAGCGCGGGCGGCCCGTGACTTTGCTCCATCAAACGGGACAAGGCAAAAACACAGTTGCACAGATACATGCCGGCGGCGCGACTCCCCCCCGCAGATCGTCCTCAGTGGGGGAGACCGCGACACCGGTGACGGAGCGCAGTTGGGAGTGTCTTCGGCTCACGCCAGGGCGCTCGTTGCTCCTCCGTCTCTTTGTATCTTCCATACTGCATTTATCAGAAGACGTATGGTTCTTGCACTTGTGCAAGATTGGGCGTCTTCTGCCGCAGTCCCTTTGATGGGAGGCCCCAGGGTGGGGGCCACCTCGAACCCCCGGCCAGGGATTCGAGCGGAGGGTGCCCCGGATTCATCTATCCGTTGGGCCCCGGTACATTCATTAGAACTGATCACTTTGCGCAGCAGCCGTCCCTTCGCCGACTGGACGGCAGTGCGCTGCGTTGTCGCTCTGTCGTGCACGCTCTCGAGCCTCGTTGTTGTGACCCACCCTGTCCCACCCGTGTGTGATCAGTGTCTACGGAGGGAGTGTCTTCGGCTCACGCCAGGGCGCTCGTTGCTCCTCCGCCTCTTTGTATCTTCCATACTGCATTTATCAGAAGACGGCCTCTGGCTCTGCGGGACATAAGGCGCGAAGATCATCCTGCCCGGGCAGGTCACGCACTGTTGCATCGCACTGATGAGCGCCGCCAGCAGCGGCCACGAGCGGGTGGTCGACCTGCTGTTGCAGCGCGGCGCGGAGATCAACCTGCAGAACAGCAACGGCGACACCGCACTGATGGCTGCCGCCGACAACGGCCACGAGCGGATGGTCGAGCTGCTGCTGCAGCACGGCGCGGAGGTCAACGTGCTGGACAGCGATGGCAACACCACGCTGATGGCCGCCATCGTGCTCCGCCTGCTTCGGGCGGGCGCAGACGCGGCGCTGCGTTCTGACGGCGGCAAGTCTGCGCTGCAGCTGGCCAAGGAGAAGGCCCACGCCGAGTGCGTCGAGGCCTTCCGGCAGCACATCGCGGAGGTGACTGCGGGCCGGCGCGAGGCGGCGGCGGGCGGCGCGGGCGGCGCTTCCTCGGGCGAGGCGGCGGCGGGGGCCGTGGCTGTTTCCGGCTCGCTGGGCAGCCTGCCCGAGGAGGCCAGGCAAGCGGCTGCGCAAGGCGACGAGGCGGCGCTGCTGGCGTGGCTCGACAGCGGCGGGCGGGTCAACGCGACTTGCGGGGTAGACGATGTGAGCGGCGTCTCTCTGCTGATCACCGCGCTGATGATCGCCGCCCAGCATGGCCACGAGCGGGTGGTCGACCTGCTGCTGCAGCGCGGCGCGGAGGTAAACCAGCAGAACAGCGACGGCGTCACCGCGCTGATGGCCGCCGCCGGCAATGGCCACGAGCGGTCGGTCGACTTGCTGATCCAGCGCGGCGCGGAGACGAACAAACAGACCAGCAACGGCGACACCGCACTGATGGCAGCCGCCAGCCAAGGCCACCCTGCCACCGTGCTCCGCTTGCTTCGGGCGGGCGCAGACGCGGCGCTGCGCTGTGAGGACGGCAAGTCCGCGGCTCCGCGCTGCAGTATGCCAAGGAGAGGGGCCACGCCAGGTGCGTGCGCGCCCTCGAGGAGCATGCGGTGGCGGAGGCGGCGGCGGAGGCAGCGGCAAGGGAGGCGGAGAGAGCGGTGGCAGAGGCGGAGGCGGCGCGGCATGCAGAGGCGCTGCTGGCGGAGGAGGAGGCGGAGAAGGAGGTGGGGGAGCGCGGCAAGGAGAGCAAGAAGGGGAAGAAGAAGAAGAAGAAGGGGAAGGGCAGCGGGGGCGGCGCTGGGCCGTCGCGGGAGCCCGAGGAGCAGGTAGCACGGGCGGCGGAGGAGGCGGAGTGGCGGCGGCGCTCGAGGAGAGCGCGAGGCTGGAGGAGGAGAGGCGGGCGGCGGAGGAGCAAGTGTCGTCCTCTTTGGCTGCAGAGAGGCCGCCTTTGGTGGATGAGCCTTTGGTGGATGAGGAGGAGCCACCGGCCGACTTCATCTGCCTGATCACGACCGAGGTCATGGGCGACCCGGTGATGGCAGCGGACGGGCATGCTTACGAGCGGACGGCGATCAGTCGACGAGCCCGATGACGGGTGCGCGCGTGCGGAGCTCGAGAACACTGGCCTCTTCCCGCACCACACATGCTGCGCCGGCAGATCCGAGAGTGGCGAGAGGCGCAGCCGTAGGACGGAAGGCAGGCCCTGCCCCTAGCCGTTATTCTTGAAATTCTTTTTCGGCTCACTTGTTCCCGCCAAAAAAAATCAGAAAGATGAAGCGGGATTCGACACATGCGGACAAGCGGTAGTGAGATTCGACACACATGCTTAGACGGCGCGCCCCCGGCCGCTCGCCTGCAACTTATTCGATCCAGCCGCCTCCCCGGCGCGGTAGCCTCCACCCCCCATGGGTGGGAGGACGCTTTTGGCGGCCATTGCCGGCCCCGTGCAGGGGCCGCCCGTCTCGCGTACAGGGCAGCCCACCTCCACCCCCCCCCTTGACCCCCCCGCCCCCCCCCTCGCCCCTCCCCCGGCCGGCGCCAAAGCGACATCCCCTCAGACGGCGGCGCGGCCCGCCCGCGGACCGCGGCCGCCAGACGCGCGAACGAGGCCTTTGTCTTTGCGCCTCACCAGTTCCCGCCCGGCTGTCCGCCCGGCGGGGCCGCGTACCCCGCCGGCGCGGCGCCCGGCGCGAAGCCGCTGCCGGGGACGCCTGGAAGGGCCAGAGAGACGGGTCAGAGAGACGGGTCAGAGACAGATCAGTGAGACGGGTCAGAGACAGATCAGAGACGGATCAGAGACGGCGCTGCCTAGCGCGCGCCTCCCGGCGTGCCTCCGGGCGAGAGCATGCCGTTGTAGCCGGCGCCGCCGCCGCCGCCGCCACCGCCACCGCTGTAGCTGACGGTGGCGCTCACCGGGCTCACCTGCAGGGGAGATGTGGGGAGATGTGGGGAGATGTGGGGAGATGTGGGGAGATGTGGGGAGCAAGGGCTGGTCGCGCGAGGGAGAGGTGTGTGGCGGGAGGGGGAGAGTGGCGGGAGGTGTGTGTGTGTGGCGGGAGGTGCGTGGCGGGAGGTGCGGCGGCAGTGGGGGAGGGCGGGCGCGCAAAGGCCAAGGACGGGCGGCAGGCGAGAGGAGGCCGAGGGCGGCGGGCGGCGGGCAGCCTTCCGGGGGGGGGGGGGGGGAAGGCGGGAGTAACGGCACCGCGTACCCTCCATCCGGGATCCGCCCGCCGGCCGCCCATG